TCAATAAACATTTGTACAATGAGTCACCGTGCTCCAAAGTTGTGTGAAGGAGGAGAAAGGTGGCCAACAAATTTCATTTGGGGTAGATGTCAAGCTATTCTAATAAACTGGAAAGCCTCTGAGCTGTGCATTACATCCTTGAAAAAAGGATCTTAGAAGTCCAGGTGACAGTGGAAGAACAGGCACTGAATGAGGCCGCCATTTGGCACAGCAAGCAAGACAAGCTAAAAAAGGAGACAGCAATATGACTAAAAGGTCCAGTGTTCCAACAATCCTGGGTAATGGCTCACAGTCAAAACCTGAGGTGACAGTGACTAACATATTGAGAACAACATGGCTAGCACATCCTGAAGAAACAAGGACTATACGAAAAGAAATGACAATTCACAGCTGTCTTTGAAGCAAGTAGATCAAGAAAGAGCAGACCCTCTTCCCAGAGCAGAAGGAATGATGTTCTCAGATGGAAAAGTGAACACCCAGCTCCTAAATTTGACTTAAATCTTTATCTAACAAGAAGACTTATCTCACTAGAATGAGTAGAATAAATGGAATTGAATTCCAATATAGGTGAGGTAACAGGAAGAGTCCAAAATTCCAGGCTCAAGTGAAAGACCTTTGGGGAAGTCTGCTGATAAGAAAGGAGATAGAAGTCAGATAGATGTTGCCACAGTTTTCAAGAGGGGTAGGGTAAGACATCAGAGAGCAACAATGCAAGCATGTGATATTTATCACTGACCCAACCCACAAACTGATTTGGAAACAGATGACTTGTGACTTCTTAGACATGAAAGCAATGTTCAGAGAGGCGGCCTCACTGAGGGCCCTCCAAGCAAAGCTATGCTCAGCTAACTTCAGATCACACAATTATCTGGAGTCAGCAAGGCCCCTGATGGTCCCTTATGACATCCTTGAGAAACAAGAGTCAGTTGACATTACAGATTGGTATATTCACACAGATCCAACAGTGGCATCCAGAGCCTAGCTTAACAGATCTTATCTTGGAGGGATATTGCTAATCTTCCCAAATTCTTAACTTAAAAAAAAAATGAGATCAGGTAGAGACTGTTCTTTCAATTTGAGGAGAAAGCAAAGGTGATTTTCTTTAAAAGTCACTGTGTTACATAAGTATATATGCGTACAACACAAGATGTCAGGTCTGACAGTCAGCCTCTCTGGGCCAGTTCCACATCTGGAAAATGACCACAGTAAGCACTTGGAGCTTTAGGACTAAATATTGATTAGCATGCACCCAAGAACCCAGCATGCAAACAACTACATACGGCACAAAGTGGTCAGATTCATGAGTTGAAAATTATGTGTTGAAATATATGTTCAAATGTAACATGGTGAGAAAAAAAAAACAAAATTTAAACTGTGCCCTTCTATAAATTGCCCTCAACCAACATATTTTAGATACATTCCACGCTTTGTCAAAAAGAGCAAATCCAATGTGTGCTGGCTAGGGCTGAAACGTTAGTGATGGCTGGCTTCCTCTTGAATACTTACCTTATGAAACTTGATAGAAAACAGTGCCTGTCATCCTGGAGGGCAAGTAAATGACCATTTGTTTCCCTAACTTCTCTGTAGGGCTTGACTGGGGGTGGGGGTGGGGGGGTCAATGCCTTGGTAAATTATTCACGAGCACTATCCCGCTCCTCATCAGCCAACAAGCCCAGAACAAAGAAATGAAAGTTTTTTTTTTCCCTCAGCAAAGTGACTCACTGACTGTTTACTTTCCAGCCTGCTCTTTTTGGTCTGTGTCCCATGGCAAGCTCTAAACCTTCCAACCAAAGTCAAAGGGCAGACCCTTCTCTTGTATCTCCTGGGAACTGGGCTTCTCTTCCTCCATGAAATGCAAGTGAACACATTGAGAATCGGGGTCAGAACACAGGCAGAAAAGCACAGAAACGGAACTGGCCTGTCTCCACTTTCACAACGCATAGTCGGCTAAGAGAGAGAAGAAAGTCATACCAGGGGGAGCCGAAGGTACCACCTTCTAAAGTCCTAAAGGACTTGCAGATGGTACCATCTTTGTAGACTGTTGGAAAAGAAACACCTTCACTGAAAAAAAAACCTCCCAAACAAACAAACAACTCTATTTGGATAGGTCAGAGACATCTCCAGAAAGATCACTTAAGCTCTGATAAAGGCCATCTTGGGACATGTATGATAAATGAGGCTGTCTGACGCTCCCAAGTCCCTCACTGTGCTTTGTGGATCAAATTCACACCCTCTGTGACCCAACTGTGCCCTTTACTGTGTCTGAATTCCAAGGACTTGGCTTTCAAAGGCTTATCCTTAAGACTCTGCTCTCAGGCCGGTGCCCTGCATGGAATTAAATTATCCTGTGAAATAAATCCACAGGATAAAAATAGCATTTGAATATATCCTAATTAAATGTGCTCCCTTCAAAGTCAGCCATCCCAGTGAGAGCCTGCACATGGGAGTCCCGTCAAAGAGTCAATTAAAATAAATTCTCAGAATTGAAATAACACTTCTCAAGCTGTGGGCTGACACTGATTCACCAGAAACTACTTCAGGTTAGTGTCCATCCTCCATATTTCAAGACAAATGAAACAAGTAAACACAGAGGCTGTCAGATCCTACAGAGGAAAGCAAGCTCACAGCCGTGCAGCAATGTGATACGGTGCTTAAGTAAAGCCTCTGAGTATTCAAGAAAACATGTTTAGACCTTGCTGCTTCTCCCCACTACTGTGGTCTGAATGTTGTATCCCCTCAAAATTTGCATGTTGAAATTCAGCCCCCAAAGATGATGGTATGAGAGGTGCTTAGGTCATGAGGGTGGGGCCCTCATGAACACAATCAGTGCCCTTATAAAAGAGGCTCCAGAAAGATCCCTAACCCCTTCTGCATTGAGAGGACACAGTAAAAGGTGGCCATCACCAGATACTGACTCAAGGCTGGCACCTTGACCTTGGACTTCCAGCCTCCGGAACTGTGAGAAATAAATTTCTGTTGTTTATAAGCCACCCAGTCTGCTGTATTTTATCGCAGCCCGGATGGGCTAAGACACCCACTCTGCCTCATTTTCATGAGTTAAAGTTGCCTTGTCACTAGAAGGGATATAAGAAGCCCATGCTTTAGCGGTACTCTAAGTCTGTAGGTCTCTCCTGCTTACACAGTGTAGCCCCGTGGTTAAAAACGTAGTTTGAGTTCTGGCTTCACTCCCAGTTAGTCTTCTGGTTACTAAGCCTTTCAAAGACACAGTCATTCATAAAATAACATGAATAATATTACTGGTATATAATAACACTGTGAGGATGCAGGGAGAAAGGCAGGTAAAGTACTGGGCCTGGAACAAGTGCTAAGTTTAGCTCCGGCTGTTGTTATTATTTTGATGTACAACAGAAGTCCCTGTCAAGTGGGGAACTCATTGGTCTTAAAAATTAAATGTGGGAAAGGCTCTCTCTGGGGGTAAACTGAGCAGAGATGGGTAGATGAGCCATGGAAAGGAGAACAAAAAATGAACTCAGGGCCCAGAGTCTGCCATTACCACCAGGAAGAACTCTGAACTCCCTCCACCATCGGACAGTATATCAGCAATGACTGCCAGTCACACTCTGGGCACAATGCTGAGACAGGGAAAATGACATGGGAGAGCCTGCAGGAGCACATCACAGCCCGGGTAAGAACGCTCACCGCGCAGGCTGTCTAAAGCAACCTGGGGCAGCTCCATGACTTAACAAGCGTGGATTCCTGATTCCCTTCAGGACAACGGCTCCCGCTGCTGGTCATCCAGCCTGGCTTCCAGCTCTGTGTCCCCTTCTCTACCTCATAGCTGGGGCCGTGACAAATGGGCTACCTCTAGTTGAGGCTTCAGGGCTCTGCACTGAGAATTAACTAGAAGACATTTCTATAGAGTGCCTGGTTTCCTCCTTCACGTTCCCACTGTTTCTGGCACCATCTGCCAGTCCTGCTACAATCTTTACTAGTCTCACTCCTCTCTTCCTATTTTTGACTCCCGGAGTATTTAAGAAGATTCAGTGTTTTCAAAAGCCCTCTTACACTTTAATCATGATGTCAGTTCTGTCATGAGCTTACCAAAGGAACAGCCTTTAGCAAGGCTAATAAATAGCAAATGTCAATCAGGAAATGTTTTACATCAACATTCATGCTCTCGCTACTATAAAAGAGAATTTTTGTCAAAGGAGAGCAACAATTGCATATCTAGAGGAAATGAAGAGTATATGTAGCAACTAAGTTATGTGATTTAAAGAGTGGGAGGACTTTGGCAACAGGACAATAGGAAAGTTTAAGAATAATTATTTAACAGCCATTATTACATTTCCCACCTTATTCAACCTTCTGTCTGACTTAAAGTTCCATCTGACACCCCTTAACCTCGGAGATCCAAGAACGTCAACCAGATTTCAAGCCCTTTCAATGTATGGTATATTGTAATCAGAAGATTGCGTGTCAGTCAGTGGAATCAAATAATATTGGGGAGAGAGCTACAAATGAGAAATGTCATCAAGCGGCACTCTGCTCATTGGCCATTAACCTCTTAGCTCCTTTACTGGTGAGCCATGGCCCCATCTGACTATAAATCTTATGACAGCAATTAGGGCAATAGTTTTCCACACTCTTCAGTTTAGACATGGATTCTTAAAACGGAATGGATCACTTCCAAGGTTAAAACAGAAAAAAAAAAAAAGAGAGAGAGAGAGAGCAACAACGGTTCAGCAGCTTGCAGTGTTTGGCTATAAGAGGCCCTCAGTAGACCCCAGCTGAGTGAATGCATGAATAGTCTCTTCCCAGCCTCACAAGCCTATTTTACAAACACCACATGAGGGCAAGTTTTAGTTTGCAGGCAACGCTGATCACTATGTCATTCATTTATTCTAATGGACACGCGAACCTTTGTGAATTGAATTCCTAAAAGATGTCAACTGATTATCATGAGAAATGGAAGGCTAGATGAAGCCAGGAGAGTCAACAGGGCTGCATTATGAGAGGGGTTCCCAGCAACCAGAACTCACCTGTAGATGATGCCTTTCTCGTGGAGGAACATGAGCGCCGAAATGATTTCTGCAGCATAGAAACGAGCTCGTGCTTCGTCGAAACGACGAGACTTCTGAATGTGAAACATCAAGTCGCCCCCATTCACAAACTCCATCACAAAAAACAGACGATCCTGGAAACAAACACAAGAGAGGATCCAACGTGGTGTAGCAGTGAGCCTAGAGTCCGATCGGCATCGTGTTACGGTGAGCCGTGGCATGGGGAGAAGTAGTTGTCGAATGGAGGTACTCAGGAGCATACGGATGGGAGGTGGGAGGTGGGGGGGCCTGGGAAAAGCTGATGGGATTCGATCCCTGAGAGGAGCTGGGAGCAATACCCAGATCTCCTTTAAGTAGTTCCACACAGCCTTGACTTTCTACATTAAATAAAAAGTGGAGAAGGCATCCGAAGTCTTTGGCTCTGCACTTCAAATGCCATGTAACCTTGAGCTTATTTTTTTTGGACAGTCAACATTAGGAAAGTGAGGACGCTGATGCTATCCCTCCCTGCATCACAGGCTTTTATAAACTGGAAGAGAGCAACATAAATCAAAAGGTACATGCCTTTCACCTGGAGCATGTGGGGTTAGTCATAGAAAGTAAGGGACATCTAACATCCTCACACCTGGGCAGACAAAAATCACAGAGAAAGGAAAACGCTTTGGACAAATCAGCCAAACAGCAGTCTAATGACAGCCTCAGAGTAGCCTCAGTGTTAGAAATCTCACTCACCCCAGAAGATTCCTGAGTCAGGGGTGGAAACATAAGGAACTCTCAACCCAGCAGGTGAAACGGGCTCTTAAAAAGTTACCAATGTACTGTACTGAGTACTGTGCAAGTGGTGTGAATAAAGTGCTATAGCAATTAAGACTACTTAATGACAGAAATGTTTAAGTCTCAATTAAAAGATGATGTCTCCAAGACCGACAGTATAAACTCTTCGTTTCAGGAACCTCTAAGACAATGGACTTCCTCACTCCCTCCTACTAACATTTATGAGTCCCAGGTTAGCCAGGAGTTAAATTAGGTGCTGGGAATCCAACAGAGAGTAAACAGCCATAAAACAGACGGAGCTTCTACCCATACAGAATCTGGTGTGGGAGACATACATTATTAAAAAAAAAAAAAAAAGGTATAGAAACAAGCACATATACAAGCTCTGGTGAATCCTGGGAAGGAAAAGCAGAGGAAGCAGTGAGCTCTGGCCATCTGCTTGGAGTCAGGGGAGGTCTCTCTGAGCAAGTGATTCAGGCCTGCAGGACAGATGCAATCAGGGCTAGTGATCAGCCTTCTTTGAAGTAGGAAGGAGGGTGGATGTCATTTTGTAAGGAAATTGGTATTTTGCCAATTCACAGAGGATGTGTATACAAAGAACTCATCTTTATTTGTGGTTTTAAGTGCCACCAGCTTTGCTCTGAGTCTCACCACGCAGTCACAGCTGAGCAGTAAACAAAGATTTTGTGTGTACTTGCTCACCTCACTATTCATCACCTGTTTAATCAGGCCCTTCCCGATCACAAGACACTACAATTTATCACCTCCTATTCCTGGTTTTAAGACCTTAATTGGAAGGGGGAAAAAAAAATCCCGTGTCTATAAAACTCTCTGCTAAGGAGGAGCAAGAATAAAGAGTGAAGAGGGAGTGACAAGATTTACACACACAAAAACCAAAACCAAACAACCACTCTCCAGACTGGACAATGTACTCGTAAGCAAACAGAAAACTAAGTACAGCAAGTCGTCTGACTAAACTAATGGCCCTCACCTGAGTGTGACTGACAAGCAGAGAGGCAGAGTTGGACGGAACAAGCTTGGAAGGGCAATGGTGTTCCATGTTTTCTATGTGGCTAGGGCTCAGGTGGAATGACAGGGTTAGCAGTGGGTTGGGGTGGAGGGTAAGTACGTGATGGAGACACGCGTAAGGTCTGCATCTACACAGGAAGAAGCTGCGTTCTTTTGGAGGGGTAGCCAATGGTGGCCTGCAGAAGACTCAGATGGTAAAGCCACCCCGAACCCCCCATGGCAAGTAGGTCAGTCTTACCAGCCTGTTCACCTTATTCATAGCTAGACTGACAGTCATGTGAATTCCAGGAGCTCAAAATACCTGATTACGGGAACTGAGGTGATAGGTAAGTGGCAACTTTTTAGCTGCTGGAAGTCAGTGTGCTTGGCAAGAGTTGCTAAGCAGCAGGCCTCCAAAAGATGAGGGCATTCCAGGGAAATTTCATCCAGTTTCTAGTTTTCCCCAAATCATTCTCCTATCTCAAGTGGGAAAAGCCAGACCCTGGGCTAATCTCCCGATCTGGGGAGAGGAAATACTGCTTTCTAATCCTGCTCATTGTCCTCTTTCTTGTCCCCACCTCCAGACCTGGAGGCAGATTCTCAGATAATGCTGCACAGCGAGGGGGGTCGCAATCTTTACAACTGCGAAAATATGGGTTTCTTTTCATTCAGTCTCATTTCTAACCTCCTGTCTGGCACCATCCAGAACAGGGGATATAATACGCATCCCTCAGGCTAAGTGCAGTGGAGGGGCACAGAGGGCGTTACAGGGGCACAGAGGGCGTTACAGGGACATCAGAGCAGCCTGGAGTGGGATTTGGGGGAGGCTTCCAAACGGAGCCAATTCCCCAGCTTGAAGGATAAGGAAGCACAAGTCAGGCTGGAAGGGGGATGGGATGGAAAGGGGAGGGAGCATGGAGAAGGAACAGGTGAAGTTTCCAGTGTGAGGCAGGATGTAGTGACCACAAGGGGAGATGTCCCCAAGTGGCTGCTGAGGATGGCACATCACTGCAACACATACTGCCACTTCCACTGCTTTGGCAGAAAAAGCAAAAGGCTAGTCAGGGGCTCCCTTTCCCCCCATCCCCAGGCCACCCACAACTGGGAACTGCAGGACTCAGTCCTGTTTCTACACGTGATCACTTACCTGTTGGTCTCTACCATCATTATAGGGCCAGTGTCTGAACTAAAACAGGTGGCAGCTATGGAGTTCGGCTTGGAAAAGGCGCCAGTTAGTGCTGGAACCTACCTGCCACATATACTAACACAACATCAGCGACAAAACCAAGTCCCTCCAGCTAAGCCTTCCTCCTATGTCATGAATCGCCTCAACCTGCAGGAGGCCTTTCATATGTAGTGGCTGCCCTTCCAGAGACCTGTGTGTGAAGTTCCGAAAGGAGGCGGGAGGTCACCTCCGCCCTCAACTCCATTCTCCACCTGTGCTGTTTAAGAACTGGTCTCACTGACTAACCGACAAACACTAAGTCATGCTTCACCAACTCAACTCTGAAGCAACTGGAGGAAGCATTTCTGGGATCCCTGCATTTAGGGAGGCCACAGCAGGATAGATTAAGGTGGTCATGAGTCACTTCTGAGGCAGGGAAGAGATTCCAAATCCCACCGTGGGCAATGATAGCAAAGACGGCTGCTTCTGTATTTACACCTGTGTCGACAGCCATTCCACTCTGTCTAAAGTCCAGTTCCCTAGACTCTGAGCCCCGACACCTGCCCAGCTCTCCCTGAGACCTCTGGCTCTTTCAAGGTCAGTCTTGCCCTAACCTTCAAGGTAGGAAACCTAAGGTCCCAGAGACAGGTTTAACCTTGGTTCTAAAGCCAAGTGGCCCAGCCCTTTGTCTGTCCCTCCCTTCTCTTTTTTGTCCCTGATTCAGCCAACCGCAAATGCAAGTCATGAAGACAGGTGAAGAACACCTGGGGGAATAAAAGCAACTCAGAAATCCCTCTGTGCCACGCCCTGCTGGTGTGAGTTACAGGAGGCCCAGGAGCTGGAGGCCGGTTAATAATAGAATTCCTGTCATCACCTGCCTGGCTCCATTAACCCACTGCGACCTGAGCCAAGTCTGCCTGGCTGTGACCAGTTCAGGGCTGTTTCTTGCCCAGGCCTGACAGTGGCTGTCAGTATAAGCAGTGTGCATTCTCTCAAGACCCTGATAAGGATTGTTGTTGAGGAGGTAAAAGTGATGAGTAATTGCATGAAGAAAAAGTTTGAAACAAAACAGCTGGGTCAATGAAAGTGATACGCAAAGATATTACCTGTGACAAGATGACATCACCTCAGGAGGGTGACTGTACAGTGAGCACCACGAGCCAGGCAAGAGGTCCCTAGGGTCAGTGTGGTAGACCTTGGGAGGTTTCTTTTCAGCTCATTGATCCCCTGGCGTGGTCACGTAGGTAAATGCTGGCCATCCTGCAAATGGCTAGTCGGACCAAGCTGGGACTCCCACAATCTCTTTCCCAGAAAATTGGAACTGAGATAGAGAGGTTTTGATTTAGGCTGCGCTGTGTGCAGGACATAAGGAAACACGAATTAGGGAGCTCAGGCCGCCTTGCTGGTGTGAACATGTGAAATGTCTGGTTATATCAGATTGGTGGAAGCCTGGATGGAGGGGCAGACAAACAGACAAGGGAGAAGAACGAAAGAGGAACACAGAGTGAGGCAGAGAAAAGAGATCAGGGAGCATGAGTGAGACCTGAAGGAAAACCTGGGTTCCTCATGTCTTTTCATTTCTGCCCAGGTTCCATGAAATACCCTTTTTATCTCTGAATCTTTATTTTCACATCTCCTTTTTTTGCATGACCTTGGTTAAGTTGCTTTCTGTTACTTGCTACCAGGAAAATTTTAACTGAAACAAACACCAATTTTTAAGGGGTAGGAGGTTTCCTGATTTATGAATCTGGGGTAATAACACCTATAACTACAGGGATTGTGTGAGGATTGAACCAGAAGTGAAGTGCTTTGCACAGCACCAGGCTCGGAAAAGAATCACAGCTAATAGATTGTTTATTACTGCATCAAACGAAGGGGCCAAGCTAATTCTAGGAGACCTGTGCACAGCAACCCAGTCCGGTGTTACCAAACAGGAGCAGTGTGGAGGTGAGGACTGTGGGGTCTGGAGCCAGGATGCTTGAGATGCAAAAGCAGCCCCACTGCGCTGTATTTATTTCCTCACTCTCAAAACTCTCATATGCAAAATGGGGATAACAAGACAACTGAACCTGTGACATCCTCACAGGTGTGTAAGGATGCAATGACTTAAGCTAAGAATTTCAAACAGTGCCTGGCACACAGGAAATGTTCAATACATGCTAGCGACTATGATTATTATCCTCATTA